AATCTGAAGAGAACACTTGCTCGTTTCCGGGTGGATTTAAAATCAGTTTTTCAAAATTCTCCATAAAATTAAAGCATTTGCACTTTTTTTTTTTAATATATATTTGGTTTCAAATGTTTGACTGTTCTTCCCTGGAAAGTTGCATCTGCATCTGCATCTGGTTTCCAATTTCAGCTATCCTCAATTTTCTTCCTTCGTTTTGACTTTGACCTCTTTTAGAATAAGGTCTATCGTGTTTAGATGATAGCGCATTGTTGTTTGGCTAAAGAGAGACAAATTAAAATTCTGATTGTTGACCTGACTTGCTATTGATGTCTGCAGACAAATTGAAAACTAGACTCTTCAGATTACGCCTCCCTGAATTTGAAATATATAGAACCATCTTTTCATGCCTAATTTTGTCACATATGTTGTACAAATGAGAGTGAAGTCCTAGATAAAGATTTAAGACTTCGTTTCATGGTAGCGGAGTGGTGATTGAGAAATTTGTTGAAGTGGTAAAGTTATATGTTTTATTGATGAATCTCTTCATAGGAAATAATTTTCCTTTCTTCTCTTCAGATTTATGAAGTCAGACATATGATAGGTCCTATTGCTGATAAGCTACCAGCCATTTGTTCAGAAGAATCAATAGCAAGGTACCTAAGAGCACGGAACTGGAATACGAAGAAGGCAGGTAAGATGTTGAAAGAAACAATAAAATGGAGGATGGAGTACAAGCCAGAGAAGATCCGATGGGTAAGCTGAGATATGTGATGTCATGTCTGTTTACAGCAACATAATTTATTGTTCCAGAATATTTAGAGGGCCCTAATGTTTGAAGAATGAGAAACAAGTGTAGTTCTATATTTATTTTTATAATGCACTTGTCATGTACAAGCCATTGTTCTGAGAAACATGTTTGTTAAACCCCATAGAATACACCACACATTTCAGATGCTAGAGACGTGAACTGGCAGATTCTTCTTAATCCAATTCCCTTAGCTAATTCGAATGTTTGCCAACTGTTCTCTTCTCCTCCAAGTTATGAGTGATTTATGCTTTTCGTTCTCGCCACTTGCCGATTTAAAGTGGTTTGTTCTTATCTCATATAGGAAAACATTGCTCCTGAGGCGGAGACAGGAAAAATTTACAGAGCCAATTACTTTGACAAGTGTGGAAGGGCCATTCTTATCATGAGGCCTGGTTTTCAGGTAGTTAAAAAGCATGACAAGAGTCTTCCTTTCTACATTTATGTCAATTAATAGTTATTGTTATTTTTCTGATTACTAGGTTTTAAGCCTATTTTTTTCTTTCCTTTTTCTTCTTGATTGTGAAATTCTTTCATCATGTCAGAACACAAATGCAGTAAATGGGCAGATCATGTATTTAGTATATTGCATGGAGAATGCAATACTGAATTTGAATTCAGATCAAGAACAGATGGTTTGGCTAATTGATTTTCAAAGGTGGAACTCATCAAGCATATCATTGAAGGTGACTAGGGAAACAGCTAAGGTCCTGCAGAATCATTACCCTGAGAGATTGGGCCTTGGTATCCTCTATAATCCACCAAAAATATTCGAGTCCTTTTGGACGGTATGTTGTTTTACATCATTTCCTTTGTAACCTTATTATTGTTTATTGTTATGATATTAACCTTTGCATGTTCTAGTGCCTGAGTCATGAATTTGATGCAGGATAGAATTAATCACATTACTATAAATAGGGAACCAGGTTTAGTGTGTGTTGTGCTATGTTGTAAAATTAGAATATAAGCAAGGACCTTGGGACTGTTTCAGTGATCTGTATGTGAGTGGGGGTGACCACACTAGCAAAAAGAGTGATTAACTGCATCAATGGTGCAAAGAAATTGGTATAAATACGATGTTAGTTTAGGGTTTCCTTATGGATTTGTGGCCACAGAACTATTTGCTGTAACCCAGAATAACCTGTCAATGACTCGAATAAGAGAATTGCCTTTCTATTCAAAACAACCCCTGACAAAAATAAGTTGAATTTTTACATTAAAAGACTAAAAAAACAGAATACCCGATAAAATAGCCTAACGGCATCCAGTACAGAAATTCTTTTCCATGTTGTAAAATAAAACTAAGTGTATGAAAATTTAATAAATAAAATAACTCAAACTAGGGTTTTAAACACTGAAAATGTATATTATGGACTTTTATTTGGACAAATATCTCTTCCTAACAGTTTTAAGGCCTATAGGGCTTGCCTTGCACTTCACCTGATGGTACAATTGGTTTGTTAGAATTATCTGGTACTGACAACTAGGTTGTTTGATGTTTTTATTTGAAATGATTTAAAATCATCATTTGCTAACTTTTATGTCTGTTTAAGGATATTTATCAAATTCTCCTTGTTATATGTTTAAAAAACTTGGTGAACTTTCTTTGAAACAGATGGTAAAACCATTTCTTGAGCCCAAAACATACAAGAAGATGAAGTTTGTGTACTCTGACAACCCACAGAGCCAGAAGATAATGGAGGATCTTTTCCATATGGATAAGTTGGAATCTGCATTTGGTGGAAAAAATTCATGTGGTTTTGATTATCAAGCTTATGCGCAAAGAATGAGAGAAGATGACAAGAAGATGTCTAGTTTTATTGACTCCGGTTGTTCGCCTTCAGTTATATCTGAGTTGCAGCAGTCAGATGCACTGGCTTCTGGCCATTGTTCTGAGGTCTCTGATGAAGGTGGCTGCTCATCATGTGATGAAGCAGCTTCTTCGAACTTGGACGTTGTTGATGAGAAGATACAAGGCAAACCACTTGACAGCAAAGATGTTGCAAATGGCAACACAACATTACCTAAAGAAATGCAAATGAGTGAGCCTGCATGAGCACTAGATTTTAGGATCTGGTTTATGATTTTGGTCTCACAAATTCTTAGCTTACATGATTTCACCTTAATGCAATGAAGCATTAGCAGAAATTTTCGGCTTCTTTTACCCTGTTGGTTTCAAAGTGAATACCACCTTCAAGTAATGCACCATTTAAGATAGATATATATATATATATCATTTTTATTGTACAGACATAAGCAGTTTGTGAATTCTAGAAAGCTTTTCCCAGTGTTTGATATTTGTGGTTCTACTTCTTGTTTCCCGACCTGTTTTCAATGTTAAATATGTCTGGGGAAATTAGAGTTTTGGGAATGTGATACCCCTGAATCTCGTGTCGGAAAATACGCTGGGAAGATCTTGGGAACTAATCGAAGTCATGTAGCTGTGGGTTCATGGGTGGCTTGCCTCATTTTTCCTTCTTCTTATGATACAGATGATAGCGTAGGAAATATTCAAAGAAAAGAGAGGAACGAATTTGTTGGCCGATAAAAAATTTGATTTAAATCACACCAATGATAGGGTGAATATGTTAGAATTCTTAGTTTCAGCATTTCATATTTTGGATATTTTGGGAGCAGAGAAGAAATCACAGAGAGATTGAGAGAACGTTGCTCTGGAGAATGAAAAAATGCTTCGAGATATATTCATGTCTGCTCCACTATTTTTGGTTATAATCGTTAGACAGAGAGAGAGAAGAGAGATTCTTCCCTGTACCAGATTTACAATAAGCCCAAGTTCTAGCATCCTATTAGATGCTTACACATGTCACTTAATCCTATACTAGAGATTAAACACTTGGACTGTGATCCAAGGGTGCACAATAAAACTAAAAATTCCACTGTTTGGTTATAATCGTTAGGCAGAGAGAGGAAAAGAGATATTCTTCCCTGTACCATATTTACAAAAAGCTCAAGTTCTAGCATCCTATTAGATGCTTACACATGTCATTTAAACCTATGCTAGAGATTAAAACACTTGGACTGTGATCCAAGGGTGCACAATAAAACTGAAGAAAAAATAAACAACTAAAAGGAAATGAAAACAGAGCAGACACAATTCCTTTAGCTCCAAAAACTCGGCTGAAGGATTACACACCAACATTCCCTTCTAATCCTTTAGCCGACTTAACACCAAGTAATTCCCTTAAGTATGCAAACCTGTCCTTAGGCAAAGCTTTAGTCAAAATATCTGCAATTTGCTCCTCAACTTGTGGTTGCTCCACATATACTTCCTCCTTTAAAACTCCATTAAGAAATGCAGATTTCACATCTAGTTGATACAAGCTCCATTCCTTCTGTGCAGCAAGAGCAATCAAGGTCCTAATGGTGTCTAGCCTTGCCACAGGGGCAAAAGTCTCATTGTAATCAATACCGGGCTTTTGTGAGTAGCCTTTAGCCACTAAACGAGCCTTGTTTTTCTGCACAGTACCATCTAGATTCAGTTTAGTCTTGTAGACCCACTTAACACCAATCACAGGTTTAGCAAATGGTCTCTCGACAAGTTTCCAAGTGTCATTTTTTTCTATCATTTCCAGTTCAGCTTCCATTGCCTTTCTCCATGACTCATCTTGAGCTGCATCTTCATAATTTTCAGGTTCGACAATACACACATTACACTTAGCCATGATTTCCTTTACACTTCTCCATTTCTTTGGTGTGTGATCAAAGACTTGAGAACTTTCACCTATGCCTTCATCTTGCAGAGTAGTATCTTCATCTATTTGAGTTTGTGTATCCAAGCTTTGACTTGGTTCAGCTTGTAATGTGACTTCTTCATCCATTTGCAGTGGTGTATCCAAGCTTTGACTTGGTTCACAGTTTTGATTCTCAGTAGGCAAAGGGACTGCCATCTCTTCTTCATTTGTATTTTCCCACTTCCATAAGCCATTTTCATCAAATTGCACATCTCTGGACAGAATAACCTTCCTAGTACTTGGATCAAACAGCCTATATCCCTTTTCACAGAGACCATAGCCTACAAAAATACACTTGTGACTGTTTTCTTCAAGCTTATGCCTCAAAGCTGAAGGAATAAGCACATGACAAGGAGATCCAAAAATCTTTAAGTGTGCAAGTCCTGGTTTTCTGCCCGTATAGGATTCAAATGGTGTTATCTTATTAAGAGCCTTGGTGGGACATCTATTTAGTAGATAGACTGCAGTATTTACTGCTTCTGCCCAAAATTCATAAGGAATACCCTTCTCATGCAGCATGGACTTGGCCATTTCCACTACTATCCTGTTCTTCCTCTCGGCCACTCCATTTTGCTGTGGAGAGTATGCCATAGTTAGCTGCCTTTGAATACCATTTAGAGGTCAAATCCCTTTAAATATTCACTAAGAGTCCCTCATCTCCTGTCATGTGGTTACTACAACCACTGTCAATATACCAAGAGTGATTTACCTTCACATCAGTTGCAGCATTACACACATAAAACAAAGTGCCAAAATCTTCCACCTGATTTGCATAATTCACTCTCTGCACATTCTTGTGTCCATTGCAATCTCTGATCATGTGTCCAAGCTTCCCACAACCATGGCATTTAGGCTTCCCTTCATACCAACATTTGCCATAATGAAATTTGTCACAATGTTTGCAGGCCGTTTTGTTTCCATCGTTGGATTTCCAATTTTTCTGAGATATTTGATCTGCAGAAGCAATTCCATTTTCAAGGTTTTTCCTACCAACATTCAGACTAGTGAAGGCCCTTTCTGTAGAATTCTCAGTGTGTCTATCCAATCTGAGCTCAAAGCTCTTCAGAGAAGCAACAACCTCTTGAACCTCAAGAGTTTCAAGGTCCTTAGAGTGTTCAATTACAGAGCAGATAGAATCATAAGATTTTGGCAAACTAAATAATAGTTTCTGGACAATTCTCTCTCTAGATAGTGCCTCACCATAACTCTTCATATGATTTATTATATCAAACAACCTAACCAGATATACAGATAGAGATTCACTATCTTTCATGCGGGTATATTCAAATTCTCTACGCATTCCTTGCAATTTTACATTTCGTACCTGTTTATCTCCTTTGAATTCCAGCTTCAGAATATCCCAAGCTCCCTTGGAAGTCTCTTCGTTCACAATTCTGGGGAATAGTTGATCTGAGACAGCACTTTGGATTAACCCGAGTGCACGAGCATCCTTCATCAACATTCCAGCCATCAATACAACACAACCCACAGACAGATTAAATGGAAGAATCATTCAAAAACATGCAAAAATATATTCTCAAGTTCAGAGCATAAGTCGTTTTTGTTGAAGTTTTTGGATCTGCCCGATGGGTCCCACTCTACCAATCTATTTTGGTAGCTGGAGAGTTTTCTAGAAGCCTCAGTTGTCATCTTGAGCTTACCACCTGCCCAATCCGTCAGGTGTGGGGTTTTACCACAAAAGGCCTCGATATTAGTTAGAGTGTGGTAATTCTATTTAAACCCATTTGTTTTCTTTCACCACACCGATGTGGGATTCCAACACTCCCCCTCACGTGTAATCACACGTGAAGATCCACACATCGGCAATTGAAACTCAGAGGTCGGCTCTCGTTGGGCCCACTTGTTTTCAATGGAACTCAGAGGTCGGCTCTTTTTCAAGCTTCGTTGGCCTTTCTTTTCTTTCTTTTTTTAAATTTTATTTTAAATTTTAAGAGTCCGACTTGTTTCTCCTTCTAGCTTTGTTAACTTGTACGGGCCTTGGCTCTGATACCATGTTAGAATTCTTAGTTTCAGCATTTCATATTTTGGATATTTTGGGAGCAGAGAAGAAATCACAGAGAGATTGAGAGAACGTTGCTCTGGAGAATGAAAAAATGCTTCGAGATATATTCATGTCTGCTCCACTATTTTTGGTTATAATCGTTAGACAGAGAGAGAGAAGAGAGATTCTTCCCTGTACCAGATTTACAATAAGCCCAAGTTCTAGCATCCTATTAGATGCTTACACATGTCACTTAATCCTATACTAGAGATTAAACACTTGGACTGTGATCCAAGGGTGCACAATAAAACTAAAAAATAAACAACTAAAAGAAATGAAAACAGAATAGACGCAATTCCTTTAGCTCCAAAACTCGGCTGAAGGATTACACACCAACAGGCCGTTGATTGACTGGCTGTATAATAAGCCCAGGAGAAAGAAAACAAAATGTTCCCTTGGAGAGTTGCTCTATTGCTCAAGAGTTTGCAACACAACATGACAGAGCATGCCCCCTTACCCAAAGGCAGCGTATTGCCATATTCTAATTCGGTAAAAAATTAATTTTTGTCCTTGCAGTTTACTGGTTTTACAATTTTGGTTCCTATAGTTTCAATTCTGGCAATTTTGGTTACTGAAATATATCCTTATAGTTTTAAATCAGAGCAATTCAAGGAACGTTACAAATTCTGTCAAATTCTTTCTAATCCGGTTACAAATTCTATCAAATCCCGTGCTCAAAATGTAGTGGAATTGATACGTGTCTTTGAATTGTTTGGATTGGATAAAATTGAAAAAACTGAAACTATGTGTAAGGATTATTTTGGCTCTTCTCTTATGACAAAACCAATGTATTTTGCTAATGTATAGGTATTGGTTTAAATATGTTTGAATGCACATGCTAGATTCAAAAGCATCATCTTTGCAATCCAAACTTAAATTCATTACATACACTCATGTGGATTGATACATCTGGATTGATACATGTTTTAAAACGGTGCATACACTCATGTGGATTGATACATGTTTTAAAACGTTGCATTCATACACATGGATTGATACACCTGGATTGATACATGCTTTAAAAACGTGTTTTGCTTTATTCTGTATCAATCCATGATATTCTATTTCAATCCACTTTGAGCTGTATCAAATAATATTTTATTAAAATATCTTTAGCTCTTGATTTCATTCGATGAAGACTTCAAATATCTTCTGATCAGTTTAAACTTCTTGAAACTTGTTTTCGAAAGCAAGAGTCTTCCTTCAACAAACCTTCCACTCTCTCTTTTAGTATTCTTGAAAATAACATATTATTGTTGTTTGTACAATATCTGGCCAAGCACTCCCCAAACACTCCCAAGCCAAAGGGAAGGGAGTCCCACATCGACAAAACACAAGAGAAGGGGACTCTCCCTTCCCTATAAAAGGAGACCTCTCCCCTTCAAGAAAGGAGAGGGAAGAGAGAGGAGAGAAGGTTGGGCAGGCTACTTGGGCCTCATGGGCTTACCCATGAGCCCATTTACAAGCCCACGGAACATTGGCCTTCAGCCAGATCTTCAGCCTCTGACCTTCAGCCTCCGACCTTCAGCCTTCGGTCTTCGGTCTTCGGCCTTCAGCCTTCGGCCTTCGGTATTCTTCCTCTTCTCCTTGAGTTTAAA